ATTCATGATTGCATTGCTACAGAATTTATAATAATAGGTAAGGTACTTTATCACGAGCAAGTGAGTTTGCGTCTGTTTTGGAATCTGTTTCATTAATAGATGGGAAGAGAGTTCTAATTCGAGAGAAATTATCTTTGTGTTTTAAAATGGCTGAACGAATTCTGATAATAAAAGTAGTTAAAATCATAAAAACTGCAAGATTTTAATGACTAAGTAAATACTTACCCCTCTGAGTTATTACGAGAAATATTGTAAGAAATATTTTTTTTATTTAGACGACATTTTTGGGTAAATTATGACTTTATTAAAGAAAAAGTCTTCTCAAATAAATAGGTACCTTGAATTATGTACATAATTTATATCAAAAATGGGGTTTGTGTTTGTTTCCAGTTTTGAATCTGTTACTTGACATCTAAAATTTGACATTAGCCTACGACGAGAGGTTAGAAGGGTTAAATAATACGACTGCAGCGCCACCTTCTAAGCCACTAGAAACTGGTTTCTTTTTTATTTACCCAAGATTATTGTGTTTATCATCATACATTTATATAAATTATAAACAAAAAGAAAGCTAGAATATACGACATATTATGAAAGAATAACTGTACATAAATAAATCAAACTACATTTGCATGAATTGGAACTATGTTCCGTTATTTGTGGTCATCCGTCTTCACGCCGTGAATCTATGGTTGTAATTGTGTCAGTCAAGGATTGTTTACTATTTTGAGATTTTTATGAAATTGTAATAAAGTTCTAATTAATGTTTACGTATTTTCTGTGTTATTGTGTTGTGGGTGAAATGTGTGATGAAGTGAATCGTTGTTTGTTGCCGCAATTTTAATGTTTTGTCATTAAAAGCACGAACGTGTTTACGTAAATTGTTTCAGACTATTTGTGTTTATCAAGTGATATTTACACAGTGAATATGCAGAATAAAGTTGTGATAAACCCAAATATTAATTATGTGCCAACAGTAAGAGTTATATTGGCAAGAACCGTCGGGGAAAGTAACGACGACATGTATACCATTACAGGTTGTCAACGAGAGTATCAGGTACCTTTTGCGTTGATGTTTTTATTAAATTATTCACAATAGCTGTAATTTAGGTAGACGTATTTATGTGAGTATTGATCTTTCGATATAATTACGGGATAAATGGTGGATTATGTACATAACAGTGATTGCAGCTTGTAAACATAACCTAAAAGTTTCGTTTAACCTTGTTGTTTTTCAGATTTGATTAAGTTTTCACATTTTTAAGTAGATTATTCTTCAATATATTTAATATTTCTGATCTCTTTTAAGTAAAAGCTTGTTGTTTTATATGTAATTTTAAGATTTCTTAATGAAATGTTTAAAAGTATCCAAATTACCTACTTTCAATCTGCTGGAATGATTGAATCATCATGTCAAAATGTTGTCCTATATGGTGCTAACTATACTTATTCAGATGTATTTATGTCAACATTTTAAAGTCAATATAACAAAAACAAGTGGTAGATCCAGAATAAAATGCTTTTTTTACACTTGATATAATATTATGTGCATAAAATGGTTCAAAAGACGAATGCAACATTATTGAAAGATAAAATTACATCATTTATAAAATATAACTTGACGATAACAATAATTTGGTTAATTTTCAAATAGATTTATGACACCTAAGTAGAGTTTGTAGGCTCCTAGAAAAACATAGGTACTAAGTGGTAAGTACCTAGCCTAGACCAACATAGATTGACGACAAATTAAATACCCTTGGACTTTTACACTGTTCCATCTAGTCCTAAACCAAGCTAAGTTTGTATTATGGGTAACATAACACAGATATAAATACATGATTCTTTATTTTTGTAAATGTACATTTTTTTATGTGATAGGAGGCAAACGAGCAGACATAAAATACATAAACACCCAGAGCAAAATAATCTGAGATGTTCACGCACACAAATTTTTATATTGTCTGGGGATCGGACCCGTGACCGCTGTCATAATAGTCCATTACGGGAACTACTTGGCCAGACGGCTTACAAGCTACCAACTATTATTATATTATTTACATATGTATATTTCAAGAATATAGGACGATTCTTCTTCTCGTTGTGTCGACAACAAACCTATACAGTGTCAGCCCAAAACTCCACTACAAGAGTGGTGTTGTCAGTAGCATTCATTAAATCTTCCTGTGTGCAGTTGTTTGGGCAGTCGGAGCACGAGATAGATGATATCACACTTGTATTACAAAACAGATAACTGATAATTCCTATAATTGTAAGTGTGTCCTGTTCTAAACAAACTTATCTTTATCACCAACGGGATTATTACCTGACCTAACAGAATTATGTTCATTCAAAGATTGCCCTTCAAATCTCACAATTTATTTTCTGAAAAGCTATTCCATTATCAAGGCTCATAAACCACAATTTAGATAACATTTGCTATAGGAGCGGTTTGTGACCTAGGGAAAAACAGGATATTTTTATCAATTTTTTAAGGGAAACCCACTAGTGATAGACTTTCTGTTTCACATCAAAATTCACACAGACGAAACCATGGGCAGCTAGTCAGTAATGAAAATACCCCATTGAATTTGATTTAGCCAATGATCATGTTGTATTTCTAAGATACACTGTAATTAATCTTGTCCTTGTTCTTAAACTTTAGGGTCTGTAATTTTTTTTAAATGTGACCTAAGCTACACTATTTTATGAAATTATTTGCTTATGTAATTTATCACCATATCAATTTAAATATTTTTGGTTTGAAGTTCCATACCCAAATTTCAAATTTATTTATTGTGACATGAATAGATAAAGGGTTAAAACGGGACCCTATTTCTTAGACTGCACTGTCCGTCTGTCGCTGTCATGATCCGTTGCTGCTATATTTACAAATACTAGGGGTACCCTTTTAGAAAAGGCGTGTTTTTTTGCCATTTTTTGCTCAAAAGCCTTTGAAGTAGCTTTGGGTACCAAACCCTTAAAACGGATTACCTTCATCCACACACGAATAACAATTGCACAGGGCTGTTTTGGATTAAAATATAGTTTCTAGTCTTCATTTTTCTGCACATGTGTTTGTTTCATGGACTTGTACACTACACATCATATTTTTGTTTTCTATTATTTACCTATATTCTAATTGAATCAATCAAGGAATTCTTTCCAGTTGAATCAAACTTTGAGTATTTTTTGTTACATAGAATTATTTTTTGTTTATTTTAATTTTATATTGTATTCATCTAGTTTCTTAACCATTATTAAGATTCTATCAATATAGGCAATGAGTTTATTATTTCTTTTTGTTTTGGCATTGTTTTTATTGAATCATGTTATTATTGAGTCACCCATACTCGTTTTTGTGTTATTCTTCACAGGTTTAATAAAAACATGAAATACGCCCGGGATGTTTTATTTTCTCGAAAAATTATATACGACCTACATTAAGTATTGTCATGAGGGACGAGGTCGATCGTCGCATTAGCTAACATCCGCTGTCTGCAGTTATAGGTGCGATAAACAGCAACGTGAAGGGCGAGCTGCACTTCATCCAGACGAAGAGCGGGCACCTGCAGCTGATCTACGAGCCATATATCTTCGTGACGGACAGCGTGCGCAGCGGCCGTACTTTCTGGCGTTGCATGGAGTACGGAAAGCGGTGCCGCGCGCGCATCACGTCCAAGAACAACGTGCTGCGCATCACCAACCCCGTGCACAACCACGCAGAGAACCACATGCAGAAGATCACTCGCAAGTACGAGGAGGGCGAGGTCGTCACCTGCCCCTCCGTCTAACGACGCGCCAACGTTCGGCGAGCGTTTCTTAGGCCCAGAACAGACGGTGTAACGCAACTGCAACGAAACTGCAACTTTCTGATGATTCTGATGAATGAAACTGAAACTGAAAGTTTCAAACTGTGTGATTACCATGAGTTTACGTTATGTGTGCTCGCTAGCGACTACGTAAAAAAATGACATAAATTGTATGACATATTGTGCAGCGCCCCTAGCGGCTACTTTCAAGAAACAAAATCTTCATAGAGATTTTTGACGTACTCGCTAGCGAGCACACCTAACGTAAACTCATGGTAGGTGCACTGGTCGCGTCATGTGTAGTCTCTCAACGGACGCTATGGCAGAAACTTAGATGCAACTCAAAAGTAACTAACAGTTGCAGTTTCGTTGCAGTTGCGTTTCACCGTCTGTTCTGGGCCTTACTCTTATTAAATTGTGTGTTTTGAGTCAGGAAACTCGATGATAACTAAAAAAGTTGTTTCCGTTTTAATAAATTGACGATTAATTAGCAATAATGTACTTGAAAATGTTAGCCGTAAGTGTGTAGTATTTAATTGAATTTTTAGAAATAAAATTCATCTTGAATGTTTTTTTTAATGTAAAAATATTGTGATGATGTAGAGATAAGGATCAGTAAGGCTTCAATAAAAGTAAAAAAAAAACAGTATTTATTTTTATTGTTTCGTTGTTGAATCGCTGGTGAATGGTGCGACAGGGAAGAAGGCATCGGAGGTTTGGTACTCGGTGACGCGGCGGGGAGCGCCGGCGCTGCTGGTGGACGGGTTCGGGTTCGTGGCGCGCAAGCGGCGCGGCAGCCGCGTGTACTGGTCGTGCCGCGAGCGCGGACGCGGCTGCCCGGCGCGCGCGCTGACGCTGGCCGGCCGGCTGCTGGCGCGCGCCGCCGACCACAACCACGGCCCGCGCGCGCCCGCCCGTGATGACCACGCGCGAATAGAAAACCTCATCGAGACTATTTCTTCCGACCATTAAAGTCTGTAAACTTTAGTCTGCAGTTTTATTGCCGACCTATTAGGTTAACATTGAATAATAACGAAATCTTTATATTGTGTACCGATGTGCAAGGCCTTGTCAGATAGAAAGCATTTCTGGCCGTGATTCACGTTGAGTGTTCTTGATGTTGTGATTTCCGTACCATTTTCTGACGTGGCCTTAGTAGATTTTTTACTGATTTGCGTCCTGTACTACATCTCTTCATGTGTTTAACCATAACACTAGCATGTTTATGGTATTCTTGACATAATAATTATGCTAATGCATGATAGCTTCGGGTGCGGTATGTGATAGTGATGGGTGTGGTGTTTTGCAGTGGAGTTCGTGATATCTAACCGGGGGCGGCGGCACATGCGTCTCGGTGGGTTCTCTTTTTACGCGGAGAAGGTGTTCCCGGAGAAAAACAAGGTGCGGTGGCGGTGCACGCGGCGCACGTGTCGTGCGTACGCGCATACGCTGCACGATCGCATATTCGCGCTCAGCAATATGCATTCGCACGCGCCGCCCGCTGTAGCGCAGCCCGAGCGAACGTTCACGTACGCCGCGCTCGCCAACAGTGCGAAGGCTGTGCTTGATGACTAACCACAGCTTTTACTTGGCTGCTAACTCAGTACGCTGTACAACTTGGCCCTTATCAACTGAAAACTATAGTCTTTTACCTGAAATAACTCAGGGTGTTCTTGTCCGATCAATAATTTCAAGAACTTTTCCATGCAGGGCCATGTCGTACAGTACAATCAACGCCGATTTGTGTATTGCAAAATTGAACATCTATCATCTATAGGCGTTTGTGATAACGCTATCTAACATTCTAATCATCATTAAACTTTGGGTTATTGGGATCGGGTAACATTGAAAAGCTACATGAATGATTGTCATGAAAAAAATACTCTGAACTCTTTTTACTTGAATGATATTTTGTGTCTAGTACTTGTTTGAGTTCAGCAATCGAGTTTTATTTTCATGGCGATTGATTATTATGGCATGCATGACGTTCAATTTAACAATGACAATGGTGATGGAACTGATTCTAGTCAAAGGTTTTAAACGTAGCTACAATAAATTAGTTGTAATTTGTAAAATAGGGCGATGTCATCAGCACAAAATATGTATGTAGTGGTGTCCGCCGAATTATCACGCGTTGTCGTTAACAGAGGTGCATTTCGGCTAGGCGCGTTTACTCATGAAAGATCTCTTTATGTTCAGATAAGTTGCAATATTTTTTTAGTGAAATGCATAATAAATATTCATAAAACATAGTAGCAATAATTTTCATAAAAGTAGTTGTATTATTGTTTGTACGACAGAGCTTATCTATCGGCAATAGTGTATTGATATTAACATTGTCTAGTCAAATAAACTAAATAAAGTACTTATATTTAATGATCGTGAATACGAAGCGCTCCGTTTATTCTTAAAAGCAAAAAAAGGTCAAGAATTTTTGTAATAAAATAAATAAACGTTATATTATCATGAATCGCGCTGAATTGTCTAATTTGGTACTAAACGGTGGCTAACAGCTTGTGAACGTCACTGGGTGCATGGGGATGGGTGGTTGTACTTGTAACTGAAGGTGTTTCACGGTGGTTTTGCTTTTTAGAGAAGAACGTGCGTTTGTGCGTTGGCCCGGGCGGGCGGCCGCGGCTATGGGTGCGCGGGCGCAGCTTCTACGCGGCGCACACGATGCGTTCCGGCGTGGTGCGCTGGCGTTGCACTATGGGCGGCTGCGGCTGCAAGGCCTACACCCAGAAAGGCACGTTGCACAAGCTAGTCGGCGAGCACAACCATTCCGGACGCTGCGGCCGCCGCAACAACGCCAAGCAGTCGTCCAACTCCACCCCCACTCCCCTCCTCCTTCCTCGCCTCCCGCGCCTCGACTTCGACAACTTCGACCCCAACGCCTGGGTCGTCAGATACTAAACCCAGATGTTCCGGGTACACTATGCGGAACATTGGCCAAGCCAAGTCAATGTGAACACATACTTGATAAGAACTCGACAAGGTTCTTCATCCCCACCCCACTGTTGGCAAGTGCGCCCAAAACTTGGTGAACTCCGCGCTACCGGCTACTAAGTTACTTGCCAGATTGTCCAAGAGTGGAAACACGCGACTTGACTTAGGGTTGTCTTCGACAAGTATCTAGTCGTAATCTCGAGGCGCATAGTGTACCGGCGCCAAGACATGTCCCACTTGACTTGCCATTGAATATCCATGAGGGAGTTATCGCTATCCATTTGGCATAATTGTGCATATCAATATAACGTCTCATGTTTTAGACGCTTCTGGCTATTAAAGCCCTCAATAATTTTAAAAATAAGGACGTCGATAGAAATAATTTTGTGCCAAAGCTTCAAATCGATAATAATTTAGAGCACGATGGTGTAGTTTAGAATAAATTGGGTCACAGTCTTGTGAACAAAATGCAATATATTTTCTTCAAGAATGAGTAACCTAATTTTTAATAAGATTATTCTTGTCATTCATTTAATGTGCCATAAAGATTTACACTAGTCAAAGATAGTAAGTAGGAGATTATATTTTATTCTTAATAGGAGTTGTTGAACGTTGACAACGTCCTAAGTCAAAACCAAGATCTCATATTAGCGTTGTTTAGGTGCCAAATGTTGAATTTTGTTATTGTGCATTGTGTATTTTAGATGTCTTATTACCTAGAGATACGTTTTGTAGATAATAATCAACTTAATAAAACGTAATTTATTGATTCAACTTAAGAAAGTTAGTAAATAATTGTGAATTTTAAAATATTTTCAGTCTTCCTTTGGTTTTGACGACAGTTGTGATATGTAGGACGTGTAGAGTTTGTCGATTTTTTTTTATTTACGATATATCGTTATTTACTCATAAGGATTATTTTATTTGATACTGAAAACAATGCCAAATACTTTATTTATGAAGTGCCAACTGAATTGCTCATTTTGTCTCGTAGAGAAAGTAAATACCTGCTATTATATTTTATTCTTGTAAATTTTAACGTTAAAGTCATGAGTTGTGTACCTATTGTAATGTGCTAAATAAATAGAGAAAACATGATCGTCTTTTATTGCCTCTAATGTTTAATTAAAACAATCGTCACAGTGCTTTGTTTTATTTTTCCTTTGTATCTTTGACTACATAATGCCATTTAACCTTCATTTATTTACTAAGTAGTATGATTCGGTAAGATTCTGCTTAATTAATTATGTAGGTTAGAGTAACTTGTATCCTCAGAATCTTTTATTAACATGTCCTGTTTTACTTAGCGCGCTTCATCCGCGCCGGCAAGGGTCGCCTGCTACTGCACCGAGGCTACACGTTTCGCCTGAAGAACAACCTGGCGCACGGGCGCAAGCAGTGGTACTGCTCGTCGCGGCTCACCTCGCGCTGCCTGGCCGACGTCAACACCGAGGGGCCCGAGGGCCACGAGCGCATCGTGCGCTCCCGCTACGCGCACAACCACGCGCCGCCCAACGTGCGCCGCTTCGCCGACGGCCGCTACGTCGTGCGCACGCCGCACCAGAGCGGACACCGCGCGCCCGCGCCGCTGGACCCGCACCACCAGCTGCTCCAGCTGCAGCACGCGCTCGCGCTGTACGCCGCCACCGCGCACGCCACCGCCACCGCCAACGCCTCCGCCGCCGTCTCCGCCAACCCCGGCATCGCGGCGCAGGCCTCGCCCAACTCGCTGCCGCCGCCCGCGCAGCCCGCGGTCAAGCCGCTGCTCGTCGACACTCCCTGCAAGGAGGAGGACTAAACGACGCCCGCCGGTCGCTCCACCGACCGCGACCGCGACTCGGCGACCGCGTCGACCGATTTCGAGCATGTTCACGATTTATAACGAAAACACATTTTTACGATGCATTATATCTAGCATTTCTTGCGTGCCTATTGGCATGCGAGCTGTAGCATAAATTATATTATTACGTAGGCTAACTCTAATATCGTAAGTTTAAGGGGATAAGGTGTCGTTTAGGATTCAGCGATGGCTATGTTGGGAATGTATGTTAACCGTAAGTTGGATGTATTGGTGTCTGGATGTAACGGCGACCAGTGAAGGGAACAGCGTGTACCAGTTATAATACCAGTGGAGTGTCGTAACGTGCATAGGTTAGGAGCCTCATCGAGGCGAGAAGTTATCCTTATATAGGTGTGGGTTATTTATGGAATCGAATAAGATGTTATGTGTGTTAGAACTTCGAATGTATAACGGTGTCATCTCGTATCGATGTCAGGTATAGATAGATGGTTATTATCCGGAATAAGGTGGATCAAAGCGTTTGGTTTAAAGTTGGCTCAGTCGATCCATGCAGCATCTTCGCTGCCGCGCTAACAGGCCGAGGGGGGTACTAAGCAGCTGGTCAGGATGACAAGCAGGGCAGGAGAGAACTAGCAGTCCGTAGAGAAGTCAGAGTCGACACAGGAGTGAGGAAAGGTCGGCGGCCCGCGCCGCCGGCGACGCGTCGGTGACTGAATACGATAACTCTGTTAGGAGCAATAGATAGGTCCCCAGACTGGTACTTAGAAATACTTAATTTATTTTGAGAATTGTAACTTTACATCAAATATTGCTACTTAGATGATTAGATATCCGCCTCCTTAATCTATAAGAATGTAACTAGCGCTTGTCGGAGGGACGAGCGCCGGTATCAAAGTACTTGCCTTGGTGTGTGCCCAGTAGCGCGCGCGCAAGCTGTAGTCGATGTTGTGCTCTTAAGGATTGATTTAAGTACTTAAGCTCAATCAACTACCTCTTCACTTTTTTATACGGGTTTTACAGATTAGTTTAATTATACAAGTTTATATACATGATGAATACTCAGAAGCTTTACTCGGGTAAGGTGTCTTAGGCTAAGCTAGAATAAGCTAGGCTAGGCTAGGCTAGGCGGCGCGCCGGGCGGCACGCGAGCCGCGCAGGGTCCGGCGCGCCCTTCACTACTCTAGTTATTATCGGAACTCAACTACCTCTTTACTTAGTTTTAACTTGTATTCGATCGTTCGGCGTTGACGACTCATACGATTAGGCACTTTTTGAGACTGTTGTCTAAAATATATTTTATCGATTGTTTTTAAAAGGAATGAATTTTGGAATTTTGTTGCTCTACGATTTTATCCAGTAAGATTGTGGTTCCATTTTAAATCTACCACTCTGATTTAAGTACAAATTATACTAATTTAATTGTTATTAACCTACTTATTAGATGTCTTACTTAATAAAATTACTTTGGTCTTGTGATTTGATGGCATAATATTGAATGAAATTATCGTATAGATGTTTTTATTAGATCTGCCGAAGTGTGTTTTGAAAAATTAGGAAATAATAATTTCAGATGAAGCGTATCTCGGGAGTCGAACTGAAACATAGATGGAACCGCTTCGTCTGAAATAATTTATTATGATATTATTGTAATATTATTACCTAATTAAATTGTCTACTTGTACCTTTAATGTTAATCTATGTCTGTGTACATACACCAACACTCTGTTGTTGTACCTGATCAATACTACGTCATACAATTTATTGCCAAATAGAACATTTGTAGGGCTTCAATCCGTGGCGATAGCGTTTTGTATGTAATTTCATAATAATTATTATAATTGATAATATGTGTAAGTTTGATTGTATGTATTATATTTAGAGCAATGACAATATAAGTCAATTATTTAAGATACGATTGATTTATGACTTATTATAGGAGTTTCACAATCACACTGTGTACATAATGTATGTCGGTTTAGCAAGTTTACAATGCATTTTAGCCTCGCTTGACTATCAATATCGTGTATTTTCGACTTGGTATAATCGAATATTTTGGTCTGATGGTAATTGTGATTTCGCTACATTTGCTCACGTGGTTAACTTATTCTTACGAATCTCGTAGGTAGAGCGCGGTCCGGCCGCCTAGCATAGAGCTACCGCCACGGGTCGCCGCAGGACTTGTCTGCCCACAGTCAATCAAATTAATTATCTACCTCATTCGCTGTTAACTACTCTAAATTCTTAATCATAGCTTAATTATATTCTTATACCATTATATTTAATCGTAAGTTTTGGTTCATCTACGGGGTACGTTTTGTGAAATCATATTAAATTGTACTTATAAATAACCGCTAGTTTTATTTATCTCTTGAAAATATCCCTAAATAAAGTTTTCTTCTTGTCGTGGTTTCATTTCGTTCGGTATTCGGTGGTTGGTCCTGGGTTTTTCTTGTTCTCACTAACAGTTAACTGACTCAATGATTTGCTGCAGGTATAAAGTTTCTGAAGTCGCGGCGTGGGAAGATAATAATGATGGTGAACACGTTTCCGTTCTGCGAGGAGTCGAAATTGCGGGACAAGGTGATTTGGAGGTGTACGTCGAAGAAGACGAACTGCAAGGCGCGGATTCATATGCTGGGGTCAAGCGTGGTGGCGGTGAAAGGGATGCACAATCACCCACCGCGCGCGCTGTGCTTGCCTACGCGCAGAAGTAGCGCGCGCAAGCAATTAGACGCGTGCGCAGCGCCGCCGCCGCCCATGCCTATGTCCGCTAACGTCATGGATGCTCTCGCGCTACAGTCCTCGGAACTCAAGTGACGTTCACATGACACTTCCAAAACTGATTTATTTTATAGATGAATTTCGAGATAACACCGATGGTTTCTCTTGTAAATATTCTTTTGTATTTCTAAAAATTTACACGTTTTGACGAGCAATATTGTTAGTCCACCTTAGGGTTGTATGAAATATAAACTACAGCAATGATTTCAGCAGGTTAAATTACGATTTTGTAGACCCCCGGCCGTTTAGCGGACGTTGGGTCGTTAATATCATATTACTGTATATGTCTGTATCACTATGTTGTTGTTTCAGGACTTTCCCTTAAAGTTTTTGCACTTATGTTGACACAATAACTTCTCGAAACTAAAACGTTTATTGCAAAGTTAGTTAATTACTGAGTATTATGATAATGTTAATTGATGGTTTATGTATAGGGCCCGCCGAGGTATTGTTCATTATTATAAGTATGTACGTGATATAAGTGACAACAAGACAATAGTTTGTATAAGTAATATCAGCGCTATTAGCGAAGTTCGTGGTTGATCCAAATGTAGAGTAAGGCGTGAACGGATTCAAGATTTCATTCCATTTGTACTGCCTTTGACATTTGGCTTGTACTGGTGCTTAAAACTGAGGTTGATTATTAAAATAGTTTATTAAATGATATTTTTACATGGTTGATACTTTTTGAAAGTGTAACTTTATAAATTTGCTCAGTTTCGTATCTATATCAATACAATTGAAGTTCGATTTTATACAGAAAATATTAAAGATGAACATTGCAATCTATGTAAAGTTGTGATAAGGTTTTAATTTAGACTTAAATCTATTTGGATAGTTTTAACATACTTTTATATTGTACTTATGAATTATGATATTAACGTTAAATAAATGTGAAGTGTATTTAATTCGGATAAGTGAGAAAGTGCCTTTTCCAATTATATGGGACCACTGTCAATTATAAATGATATTCTAAACATTCCTTATTTAAAATTATAGTTTGGTCTTTTCATAACGTAATAATTCCAATTTTGATAACTTTATATCGATATACACGACGTTAAATTTGTTTAGGAGTATTACTTCTTAAGATTTTTGATTAAATTATGTTTAATTTAGCAGCGGATTTTCTTTTTCAAGCCTTGGGGCCTAATGAAGTGAAGCCCTATCAAAAACCTCTTTTGTGGTTCTATTTCAGAAATAACTTTTTTCAGAGAGTAGGTAAGTGGTTAGATTGATTTAACTCCGTGTTTATGGCGAATAAAACTGAAATATACCGTTTTCGTTTATGCTTGTTTTTCTGACATATTTCCTTTAAAAAAGAAAGTAGATTTACTTGAGACTGCTTTAGTTTTATGAACGTGTAAGCATTCCAATCAGAATTGAGTTGACGCGACTCTATCTGGGTGAATTGGTTTGTTTAGGTCCCCAAGGGACAGCGCAGTTCAGGTTCGGGCGGCGGCCCAGCCAGGACGAGCCCATCATCTGCTGCGGCAAGTTCTCCTTCGTGAAGGACCGCGTATTCTCCAACGGCCGAACGCGGTGGCGCTGCGCACACGCATCCCGCACCTGCCTTGCTAACATCTACACCATCGACTCCGATGTTGTTCTCTTCTACGATAAACACTCCCACGATTAACTCCTTTATTACCATATACCTTGAAAAGTCCACCTAGGTGAACGTCGGGAAAAAGTTATTTTCCGGAGTCCACCTAAGTGAACCACGGGAAAAAATAGTTTCCCGTTTGCCGTAGTCCACCTAGGTGGACCACGGGCAATAGAGGGATTAACTAACTTACTATATTTGATTCATATCTGAGGCTAGTTTTTAGTCATTATGAATTGGAAAAAATAAAAGATATTTACATTTATCCTCATAAAATGTGTCTTATTGTAAAAACATACAGGTATATCCTAAAACAATAGATCTTTAGTGACGGTAAACTTTCGCGCAGTTTTAGGTCAACTAAAAGCGGCATACGTGCCCACGGGCAGAGGTAGGAAGCTCCTGATTCTGGATGGGTACTCGTTTATGGAAACGACGCCGACGCACTGGATTTGCTCCCGCAAGAAGACCATGCGATGTCTCGCCTGCGCGCGGACCAACAAGCGCGGCGAGGTTGTAGGCGTAGGCAACTCCCATAACCATCCCAAGCCGCGCTTCTACCAGAAAACAACGCAGAAGATGATTCATTTGAAATAAATAGTTTTTGTTTATTTTTTTTAGTTATGCTTGCATGAAAATGAAAATCATTGTTTGGTTAGTTATTTAGAAAAAAATGTTAAAAACTTCTTCCATAATAAATAGTTTGATTAAACGAGTGTTATGATTATATGAAAATGGGGTTTATTTACTTGTGTAAAATTTTGATTTAGTTTTCAGAGATGAGTATTAATGGTTTTATTTTCTTTCAGCCTTTTTCCTGCCATCGAGAGCTGGGAAGTCTGTTCTGATATTTCAATTCAACAAGTTTTGGGTGAACAATCAGTACAGAGACAAGTTGAACTGGGCGTGCCGGGACAAGGACACCAAAGGGTGCCTGTGCCGCGTGCAGACCACGATGGAGGGTCACTTCATCCGCGTCAAGGGAGGCCACAACCACGAGCCTAACTTCACCCCTCAAAACTTCGACGCACCGACTCTCCCGGAAAAACCAACCAACCAAACTAACGACTTTCTCGTCCCTATGAAAACCTCCAAACATTCCAATGTCGATTTTTACGAAAAAGATATAAAGGCAAAAATCGGAAAAGTAAAATCTCGTATATTATAATAAACTAAAACAATATTTTGATCGTACGTACAGGGGCTTCAACGGCTGTGATAAAACTACATTCGCTACAAAAAGACAGAGTAAAATTATACTTATACTATTAACATTCCTTTTCTTCAAGTTAGTGATTGGTTTTCTTACAAGTCGAGTGATGTTTCTTATTTGTACCAGTGATTATTATTATTTAAGTTCGCAATTAAAAGTATACTCTTCGTAATCATGAACCTCGTATTAGTATTTTTAAGAAGATGAGGAATTGATCATGATCTCCTTTAAGATTATTATTTTGATGAATCTCAAAAATATAGGCTTTAAGATATTGTGTGTCATATTTCACTATCATATAGAGTTGATTTACTAATGATTTGGAATAGATCTTATAGTTTTAAGATTCGATATTATTTGCACCAAACCACATTTTCTTTTAGTAAATTAAGCATAACGTATAATTAGTTCAGCGATGAACTAATTTTATTGTCCCCTAATATTAATTAGGTAAGATTTTATGAATAAAGAATAAAAGTATTTTTATACACTTTTCTTTTATAATTTTTATAATATCGAGACCTTTCTTGGCGTAGTTTGTTTGTCAATAAAGTTATTCATGTGTAGCATTGGTAGCAAAGAGTGTGTGTTACAGTTTATTGGGGTCGCTCGCGCTACGGGAATCCTGTTCTGGTGATCGACGGGTTCAGGTTCCGGCGAAGGAAACCCACCGTCCAGGGCCGCACGACTTGGATCTGCATCAAGTCCGACCTCGGCTGCAGGTGCTACGCCGTCACCATGGGCGACCGAGTCATCGCCATGGGGTATTCCCACATCAACCATATGCTCAAGCATACCAAACAAAATAAACACAAACCCCCGAAAATCCGCAAAATACGCAAAAAGCACCTGAAAATGTTAGCTCCTTTTCTTAACGGCACCACCGATACATACGAGCAACTATTTCAAAGTGTCTTTTCTTAGTTGCAGTGCAGTGTGTTGTTGTATTCTGAGCTTGGTCTTAGGAATGACCCTAAATTCTGTGAGTAAATGTTTTCGAACTTCTTTTCGAATATCGGCCATGAGTGATGTTATTTTTTTATCATTTTTAAAATTTTGAGTCATCAAGATATTGTAGCACGGCTACCTAGTCTAAATTTGAAAGCGTTATTTTTTTTAATAAAACTATTTTTAATGGCTGTTAATAAGCAATGTGAATAAGGACTAGTCCTAAAAGATTAAGTAGACATTTTTCAATAAATTGTAGTTATGTTCATTATACCTTTATTTCTTATACTTATCCTGGTTTTACTTATTTTAAAAACTTATTGGCTTTCTTACTCATTTACGACAGGTAATGCTTACTCTACCAGTTTTTATTAGTCTTAGCGCGTTAAGGTATTAGGTTTGATATTACAACGTTTTGGATTCAGTTACAGGTGCACCGAACCCACCTGAGACGCCACCAACTCTTGGGCTTCCATTCCCGTTCCCGTGTTTCCCGGGGCAGTTCCGTTACTGCCTGAGCAAGCGCGGCAAGCCAGCGATCGAGGTGGGGGCGCACCGGTTCTGTTTCAACGGGCGCGCGGCCAGCGGCAAGGTCTGGTGGCGCTGCTCTCGGAACCCTCGCTGCCGCGCCGCAGTGCACACCTTCGGCCTCCGCGTCGTACAAATGAACAGCGCCCACACCTGCGGAGTGCGCGCCACCCCTCTCAGACCCATGTTCTAACCACAACAGGCCAGCCTAGCAGCTGCGACTCGTAAGAGCTTTCCAGTAGAAATTTGAGATTTCTATCGATCTGGTCATTGAAGGCATAATGTAGAAATTAGGATGAGATTAGGAATGCATTTCTTCTAAATTTTAAGGCGAGTGACGGAAACAGACTTGCAAATCGTAATTTAATTGGCGCGATGTGTCAATTTTTGACGTCAGCCGTTGGCCACCGGCGAGTAAAATGTTGTTGGGTATTGGCACAGACTTTTGATCTCACCGCGATGGTATGGCGTGTTAAGCTGGATTCAAGTTTATTCTTTTCATTGGAATGTTAATCTTGCTCTTGTGCCTTTATGCCGGTGGACCACAAATTTTCCAACAACTGATACGCTTTTACCTTTTTGAACTATACTAATGATGCGATTTTGCAAACTTTAGTTTGCGCATTTTATCTTATACATTTAACGATATTCTCCAAAGAGATTATTATGAAAATAATTCTAACTTACGTAGAATTTGCGCTGTGTAAAGTATACGATTATTTTATAGGCTTTAGTATATCGGCCGCTTGCGCATTTATGACTTGAGACTGTTTGATATTATTAAATTACCTAAGACGTTTATTCGAGTCCTGCATTTGGTATAATCATTCTTATGACAGGACGGTCCGAGGATTCCGTCAACTGGGACCGCAATTAACTGGGACCGCGGTCCCAGTCGCCGGATGCGTAAAAATTAAATAATTTTCTTCCGGCGACTGGGACCACTCATAGATTTTAGTACTGTACCGATTTTGGATTGAATAATATTTTCTTTTAAGTTATCTATGAGTGGTCCCAGTCGCCAGAAGAAAATTATTTAATTTTTACGCATCCGGCGACTGGGACCGCGGTCCTAGTTAATTGCGGTCCCAGTCGCCGGAAGCCTCGACGGTCCATGCTAGAGATGGCTCTACCAGTGTCTAGTTAGAGATATCGTGCCGTCTCTATTTTAGGAGGCTGTATAGCAAGGTATTTACCTGGAATCAGTTATGTGGTTGTTAATTGTTATGACTATCAACAAATACTCAGTTTTTCTTTCTTTCTTTCAACGCAACATACATACGCTATCTGAGTGAAATTCTTGATGTGCTGAAAAAGTCGTTACCTTCATGATGTACCTACTTAATTAAACGTACCTATTTGTGTACCTACAATGGTTCTCTACTTACACATGGGAAATTTAAAACCAGCACAGCCTTCTGAAATAGCAGTCGCGCACGTGCCGTTGCAGTACCAGTACAAACCATACCTAGCTATAGTTTTTATTTTGACCGCGCAGCTCGTCTCAAACCGATCTTCCGCGCGCAGCGGCCCTAGTTGTAGTTGACTGTACAAAGTGATAGTTCTCTTATGATAATCCAAGTATTTTTATACATTATTTTTACATTATTTTTTTACGATTTTATTCGTGGATTTGTACATAAAGATAATGGTTGTTGATGGAAGTGAACACTTCCAGATGGTTGGTTTCGGTTGCAGCTAAAGGAATGATACGGTTATGTTTGCCGAGGGATGTTTACGGAGTCATGTCATGTATGTACGATTAGAATGTAACAACTTGTTAAAGTAGGAACGTGCATTTATATTGATTATATTGATCTAATGATAATACTCATTGTATATGTTGTAGTTATAAGATTTTTTTCTATTTAGTGAGACCTTATATTTTTATGTGTTAAGATTAATATTATAAAAATTCTCTCAGTTATATTTAATGTACTTAATGATTATTTTGTAATAGATTTTATCACGGCTTCGGCTGTATTTCCTCAAAGAAGATGAACAATAAAGTTAACCGATACGAATATTTTTACCACGTGATTTACCATGTATACGATCATAATGAATCTATGTTAACCTTTGGAGTATTATTTTAAAGTATTATTTTTTATTGTGATAAGATTTTATTATTATTATTTTAGTCCAGAAAGTATTATGGAATAGAGGTAGCTGTAAGCGGCAGTTGTCGATCGGAGGATGTTTATGCTGTGTAGTGATACTGGTAGATGGAGACGCGATCTCCTGTGTATAGGTACAAAGAAACGATTATATTGCGCTGATGTATCAAATCGTGTTTTATTTAAGTATCCTTCAAATCCTTAATCCATCTGATTCATTGACGACATTGAATACAGCAAAGTGAGCATGAAATAAATGGTTCACAGAAGTGACAAATTTTGCTGTCAATTATGAATTCAGAGCCATCTAGAAAACATAGATTTCTAGGATCATAACCATCTGAATTTACTTAATTTAGCATAACAAAAATGCTAAACAACTAGAGATAATGGCATCGTGCACCATCACCAAAGAAATAGAAGAAATAATGGACCAGAGGTAATTGCATGTCTAGATTGCATTCTATTATAATCGGTTATTGCATTCTATTATAGTCCTCTATATTGTTTTGTGGTAGTCTAGTTGTAAGAATTCGTGGCATAGGACTAACGGTATGAATTTTTCAGGGTGGTTCTACATAAGGTCAGCGCGAGGGGGCCTCCACCTGGTCGCCGACGGCCACATATTTTACGAGGACGGCGGTTCACATCCCCGAAGGGTCACCTGGAGGTGTGCCAGGTCTTACCAAAAAGCCGAGAGATGCCAAGTTGCCTTATGCCTCCGGGATGGACGGCTAGTCTACTTCCGAGGGTCCCACAACCATCCGACGACGTACAACCCTGCGAAGCATGACTCCAGGAAGTTCCAAGTGGATCCCATGGGCAAGTACAAGATAGTAGCGAGCCCAGCGCCCAGGAGGGTTCCCTTAGTGGCGGCGCCGGCGCCCCTGGTGCCGCCTGCCCCGCACGCCGCCCTGTTCCTCTAGGCCTGGCGCGACCTCCTAGTCCGCGGCCTCCTCGACGGGAGGCACTGACCGCGGCTTGGAGCGTCGCCATACACACTGCTTCGAATACCTGTTCACATGACATGAACTTTATTTATTACGTAGTTTACAAAGAAACAAAACTTGCTTTATTTTCAACAGCGTGGGAGAATCGGATCGTTACCGCGCATTAATATTTACGTTTCACTATTAAGCGAAGTAATGTAGGCACACATAGTTTCTTAAAGGAATTATATCTTGTATGAATGGCTTTGAGTGGTAATTTAAATAAGCGGAACTAAAGCCAAGTTTTGTATCTTCCCAAAAACATGTACTTCCTACGAAGTGACCAAATTATACCAACAGGTTATCGTTTGATGTATTTATTAGACTAGTTATACCAAAGATTTTGAGATTATTAGTTTCTAAATAACCAGTATACATACACGTTGAACAAGATTGCCGCGAGTTACTAGGTCCAAAGGTAATAATTTATTAGTCACAGATTTTACATGTGGCCATTCTATGTTGAATTACCTTCTAGTCATTTGGGTGTAGTAAATCGCGGCATCGTTATTGTGGCTTTAAAATTCAAATTTGCGAATTGAAATGGGTGTTTTACGGGTGGTTTCTGAGAAACTAGGAGCCTGTTTGTTGGGATGTGTTGGTTATAATGTGTATGAAGTTAGAGTTACAATAATCGGGTGGATCTAGAAGACGCTTTACGGTCGCCTTGCACCAATGCCTTAGTGGCTAATGTTTAAGTATTTATACGATGACTATGAATTAAAGTATAATCATTGTATGATCTGGATGTGCAATATTCTCTTACCAAAAATGTTTAGAAATTATGTATACAAAATGTATAGCTTTAAATTATAGTGTAGCCGTCTTGTTGATGCTTTTTTATAAAATTCTATTTATTGACCGCGGCGTAGTTTGCGGACAGACTGATAGACGATGTTACGAAATACTCCAATATTTACGATCTGTATTTAGCCGTAGAAGTAGTCGTAGGTATAATGATGTACCAGCTTATGAATAAAATGATACAAGCGATAGTTTTTATAATAGAAACATATATTACGGTAATAAAACTTATTTAGAGGCCGATATTTGTATAGTAGAGGATTGGAAGCATGTAGGACACTGTAACCGGTTTGCGTAGGGTCGTACGGGACATGAATATTCACCATTCTGGCGCTTCCTCGCGTCAAGTCTTGTAACGAGCTTTCCTCGATTCAATACTATTTATTCATTATTCAGTTTAGAATTTTTTTTACACATATTTACCTTTTGTCTCGTGATTATCATACCAAATATTTAGTCTTCGATATCCATACATAGCGTTAAGTATTTATGAAATTATTTATTGTTTTTATTTTATTAAAATTAATCATTATTTATTGTTTTTGTATGTGCAATATTTATTTTTAATCAATACTCATAAAATATATATAATTGATTACAACAGTTTTCATTTATCATCCTGGATCCTCAAATCTATTGGTGACTACCTCCGCCTCCTTGACTTACATACTACGGGTTATTGCTAAACTCTTTCAAAGTGGGATCGAAAAAGAATGACTACATCATTAGTCTACAATCTACATCTTATCCGATGAAAAATGACGATCAGAAGGTAAAAACAAGCGTCACCCGGAATCCTCTTCCACAGAGGAGCTGGCTATTGTACCTTTTTTTATGCAGCTCAAGGCAGGTATTGTAATTGCATAATGCAATCACACCTGATGTGAACTGCTGTCTAGGATGGTACAACCTGCCCTGAAACCTGACCCGTTGTAGTGGTAGTTTTGGTTATGATGTACTGTTTTGTGAATGTTGTGCAGCGTCGAGCGAGGGCGCGATGCTGAAGCTAGGCGGTCACCTGTACCGCCTTGATGGCTGCTACCGCGCCAAGCGCCGCTGGGTCTGCGCACGCGGCTGCGGCGCCCGCATCCACACCGCTGGCAAACAGGTCGTCTTCTCCGAGCTCCGGCACCGCTGCAAGAACAACCACACCATTTGAGAGTGGACCCGGTTGGCGAGGACCTTGAAGTGGTGCCTTTATGGCATATAAAGTTTTTTTTTGTTTCGGTAGACTTTGCTAGACTGTTTGCTCTATCAGGTTGATTATTTTTGGACTGTATTGGTTAGACTCGGTTTATGAGCTAACCGGGTAAGAGCCCAGGAATTTCATTATTAAGAGATGTACTTATTTTCATATCCATTTACGAAGCCTGCTGAGTATTTATTACCGTGTTAGATTTATGTTTATTTTCAGTTTGGCAATGAACAAAACTCTTTCAGATCTGAACATTATTTTTTGTGACTTTTTACAAAGTATAAGATGGTAGCTGAGGGATTCAAAGATATTGTTTTATAGCCATAGTACTTAAAATGCCCACCGTTTCATAACTTTTAGTTCCTAATGTTGCTTTTTATAAACGTTCACGTTACTGTTATCAAAATAAAATATTTTTCTATAATCGCGTGTATTCTTTTGAGTTCGCCAACCGTGGACTCTGCTCAAGAACTAACATGGTGTTCGTGTTCCAGTGCAAGTGATATACAGCCAGACGGGTTACCCGAAGCTGATGTTGGATGGGTATTTCTACCGGCCGCACAACGCGTATAGGAACCAGCCTAAGGTGCTGTGGTACTGTGCAGCTCGGAACAAGTTCCAGTGTAACGCGACTTTGCGCACTTACAATCGGGAGGTGGTGGCGGTGGCGGGTGCGCACAACCATGATCGTCGCTGACAGACGCGAGCGCGTGCGCCCGATCCACAGCGCATGCGCGAATTGTCCATGCTACATCTGCGCGAAATATTCCGGCTCTACGGCGAGCGGCT